AACCTTCACGCAATGTTTCTCGTTTAATACTGACAAACATAAACTTTTTACTGACCATTGCGCCACCTTTTTATGGCATACTGTGAATGTGTACTTGTGATATACTAAAAAAGACTGGCCAGGCCTAAAGTACAGTATTGTGTACTCTTTACATACGAATCGAGTTGTATTGGCCTGTTTTAATATAACTACGGTTAACAACATTTATAATTTAATTGCATTATAACCACTGAATTTATAAAATGGCCTTTTATCTAAATTGTTATTTATTGATCAAATTTAGCCGAAATTTTTTAATTGTTGGTTTGTTTTGAAACAGTGTTTATTGACCTACAAATCAATGCCATTCATTTGTCTGCACCTCATTTGCTTCCGGAGTAATCCTCTCCCGAAGTGGTCGACCTCCGTAATAACTTTGGCAATGCTATCCAATGGGAATTAATATTTTTGACAACTAAAAGTGGCCAAATAATTTAATTGGCCCGATCAAATGTTAAAATTTATACCGAAATGTTATTTTCTTTATATAATCTTTGTAACAAATAACTTTGGCGCATCTTATTATCTCGAATTCTAAAAGTGCCATGGTCATTGTGCCAGACACATTTCGGACTTGATCTCTTTGGGAGAGGATTACTCCCGAAGCAAAAGAGGTGCAGACAAATGAATGGCATTAATTTGTAGACCAATAAACACTGTTTCATTGCAAACCAACAATTAAAAAATTGCGGCTAAATTTGATCAATAAATTACGGTTAATATAAAAGGCCATTTTATCAATGCAGTGGTTAAATAACTGATGAGACATTTGATAAAATAACAAATCGTTTAATAATTTCAATAAAAATAGTTTGAATTATTTTTGTATCAATCAAAATGAGGTAGAATTGAGTTCTTAGATTTGGTGTATTAAATGTATTATTTATAAAATACATGATTTGTTCACTTAATTTATAATAACATAGAGTAATTGTAAACAAATAATATGTAAAATATTTAATATAAAATTTTTATCATATATACTGATAATAAATCAATTTTTAAAAGAAATTACTAAATTATTTTGCATTAAGTTTTGGCATTAATTATATGGCATATGACATGATTTAACAATAATTTTAACATTAATTAAAATATTTTTCTTCAATAATTTGGCAAATGTTGTAAAAATGTATGAAAAGAACTGAAGAATACTAATAAAGATTTAAGTGTTTAACAAAATTAGAGAAATAAAGACAAATCATTGAGTTTAAAATGTTTTACAATTGAAAAAAATGTTACATTATTTCACCGGTAATTATGGCATTAAAAAACATAAAACTATTATTAGATATGATTTCAATTTGAAAACTATTTTTCGATTTAAAACAACAAGAATTGGCACAAAATAGGAACAAAATAAACAAATATATATAAAACTAGATTTAAGACAACTTTCAGAGGTTTCAAAATAGACTTTTCTATGATTTGCATTATAAACTTAAATACAATTCTTATCATTAAGATTACAAAGTTGATGCAAAATTAGTTGTTTGTCTCATTTACATGATTAAACTTACTGTAAGATAAAATCATTGCATTCAAAAATATAATACAAATCATTTATAATGATATAACGATAGCATTTGGTAAAATCAAAAATGAAAATACAAGCTAATTCAAACTGCTTATAACATGCTAAACTAGTCAATAGTTAGCAAGTGATTGCTAATATACTCATAATGTGTACATAACCGGTGGCAATGGACATAATAAAATCCAATTATTCATTATTTGTATCATTTAATATTTTTGATTCAATTATATGATGGAAATTAATCGTTATATCTTATAATAGAGAAGCTCTGAAAACCTAATTATATTTGTTAACTATATTTACAATTAACGATAATATAAGACATAATTCATTCATTTCTGAGCAAAAGTCAATCATTGAATTTCATTAGATATTGTATTGTTCATCAAATGTAGTGAAAGTTGTTGATTGCAAATGAATTGCAAATATATTGAGGTAATCTACGGCTAACACAATGTGGTCTTAATTTGAATATACAAGTGGTAAATGAATGTTATAATCTCTATATTACCTATATTTTCATGAAATATTCTGTAAATATAACTAAAATATATAAAAATAAAGTAAAAACAAATAAAATATCCAAATAATTGAAGACTTCATCACTTTTTGAGCATTCAATTCAGTCTATTGTCTGAAACTGTGATTATTGAATGATTTTAATGTTTAGAATTTGAGGTCATTTTAAGGTCACTTTGAGGTAATTATTTTTGAGGTCACTTTGAGGTAGATTTGGATTTGTTGGATGTGTTTGTGTGCGCTTTCAATATATAATTGTTAGCATAATATTAACATTAATATCAAATATTGAGCTCTGATTGTCATTTGAGGCACTTTTTGAGCAAATATTGGTTTTGACTGAAGAGTTAGTGTTATTGAAAGGCTTGATTGAAATGAGGTAGAGATGGGTTAACGTCTACTGAGAATGTCGTATGGATTTGATTGGAGGAGACATTCGCCATATTAGACACCGGTATCCCAAAAGCTGCGACAGTGGCTGTTGTGCCGCACGAACTCACGTTTGCACTCGAGTTCGCAACCAAACAGTTGGGCAAAAATGAAGGGCTCGGCAGCGGATATGAGTTGACCGGAAATGTGAAGTAATGGTGAGAACCCAATGACGGCTCACTCTTTATAACATTTGATGCCATTATTTCATCAAAACTGTGAACTCCGGACATGTAATGAGATAACGACTCGTTTGCATGAATGCCATTCATCCCTAAGTTTGTGAGATTAGGGTTTGAATGGTTGGCATAACCGGAACAATGGTTATCAACATTTGAATTGAGGTGATTGTTGTTTGTATTGGACAACAAAACCAACGCCGAGTGCTCTGCGCTCTGACTGTTGCCGTAATTAAATGATTGTTTAATATTATTGTTGTGATTGTGAGGTAACTGTTGTCCCAATACGACAGGAATGGTCGCCGTCTTTGGCTGTATTAGTGAAGAACATGAATGCGATTTGTTTGAGGTATGCGTTGAAGAACTGGAACCGGCTTTGAGTGCAGTCGACGAGCGAGTGTCCCGATTGTGGCTTTTCTTCGCGTGTCTAACCAAATGGTCTTTACGTCCGAAGCGTTGCGTACAGAAAGGACAGGCGAAGTTGCGGATCCCGGTGTGCACTACCAGATGCCTCTTCACGTCCTTTCGCGTGAAAAACATCCCTAAAAGTGACCAAACATTGAGACAATCAAAACCAAGAGATCACATGTCGTGTGTCTTACGTTCGCATTGATCGCATTTGAACCGTCTCTCAGAGGGCGGTCTCTTTGTCGGACGGGAACAGCTCTCAACACATTTCGTCTTTGGCTGCGACTTCTTGGCCAACACGTGACCAATGGGTTGGCCATCGTTTCGGCTGTTATTCAGACTAATAGCTGTCGTATTATTGGTCTCAATATTAATTGTATTGATGTTAACATTCATTCCGTTTAAACCATTCAAGTGTTGTATTGAAGTCCTGTTTCTCATTGTCATAACATTTCATTCATTTTGTTATTACTTCACATCTTTTGCCTATAAATTCAATACGAATTACAATTACATTAATTCACTATTAATTAACGGATTATAACTTTTAAGTCACTTTTCAGACAACAATCGGTTGAATGAAAACTTTGTTTCAAAACAAAGTGTAAAACAAGGAAACAATGAAAACATTGAAATGCATTCAAAACGAGTCCTCTTTTACTCATTATTAACAGTCATTGAAATGAAACCTATTTTACAATTCATTGCGAATAACAGATAATTGTCTACAGATTTCTTCGATGCCATCAATGGATCAAATGATTGGATCAAATGGTCATTCAATGGCAGCGAAACATGTCTTGTATTTACCTGTGGTTTGCATTTGTTTGGAGACAATAGACAGCAAATGATGGCAACTGCAAGACGTGTTGATTGTATGGCAAAGAGTGGTTAAAATGTGCTGAAAGTGTTGACATGTGTTGGAAGTGTTGGATCTGTTGGACGAGTAATGGTTTGAATGATTCAATCAATGCTTGCCTTCAATGCAAACAAAGACGCCATAACTGAAGGTCACATGTATTGCATGTCTGGCCGTCACTGCAGTGAAGCCCAACACTAACCACACTATTGTCACTCATTGCCACTCATTTGACACACATTTCTATCAATCCTTTCTCTCTAATGCACTCCTCTCCTCCCTGTCCTTCCCATCACTAACTGTTAGACAAAGTGTTAATCCGATTCTCAGACCACAAGTGAAACGTTTTGTTGTTTCAAATGATATATTAGGAGAATGTATACAACTTTAGGTTAAGTGCAAATGTGATGTGCATTCATGCCATACAATTCTGGTCCGATTCTTGTGTTTTTCAAGTTATGACACTTTATAAGTGTTAAAATAGATTTGGTTTTAAGAACGCGTTTATGTCATGAATTAATTAAATTTATTTCAAATACATAAAAATTTATATAATTGTATAAAAAATTAACTTTTAATTAAGAAAAACAACTAAATATTTGTAGTAAAAAATGTTTTTTCCTAAAAAACAACTTTATTTCGAAATGACTTTCATTTGATTTAATATTAAGAAAAATAATTTCAAACATAAGACTAGTTATAATTTGATTGAAATTTTGGCAAATGATCCAAATTAAAGATAAATTCACTTAATTTAAGAGAATTTACATATAAAGTAAATAATAGGTATAATTAACATTTAAATGAATTTAAATAATTTACAAATATTTGGTTTAAAGTATAACAAAACAAACACTCGTTTATGAGTAAAATAATTAGGTTTTGTTCGTCAACTGTATATTGAATATTAATTAAACATTTATTCCGTGTTATAAACACAGAAATAATATTTGATTAACAAATGATCGAAATCTCGTTATTATTATCGTTAATGAATTTGTGTTATATATTGAGTGAAATTTAATGTTAAAAATTGAATTTCTATAAGTTTTGAGATGAAACAATCGATTCCATGTAATAACCACTTCTTAAACTAAGAGAAGATTACGGTATATATTGGTATTGGTTTGCAAATAACGATCGACCAATTCATTCAATTCTTAACTTTACCTAAACTAACAGCTTCTTCACTGTTGTCCCTCTTCTTAAGGGAGAAGCAATTGATTCTAAAGTGATCACACATTTGCCGCACAACACACACGCCGTAATGGATGTGAAGGAAGCAAAACAATATAGAGTTCATTCGTAAGAGTAACACCTCCTGGCGTTCGGACATCGGAAGAGTGGTCACCGCCATTACGGTCACCGCTAACGGCAGTAGAAACCAATTCACGGCTTCACATCTCGTAGAAGACATTTGACTTACAATTAGCCGACACTAAAGCATAACAATTAGTAAAAACAATGATCGAAGAGATATGAATACTAACAGCAATGTTGGCGAAGACAGTTCCGACCATGAAGTAGAAAGTTCTTGGCTCGCGATCGATCACATTGTTGGGTGAAAAGGCCGCCCAACCCGTCGTTATCGAGAACAACACTATTAGAGGAACGAGTGGTCGAAACGATTCCCAGAAAGTCGGCTGTTTTAAGTGTTTACACGAATACACATTATATACAGTGACGGGCGCCGACACTATAAAACTTCCCACTGATTGCGAACCAAATATTAGTTATGGGTTTCAGTATTGTTTGCGTTCATTAGACTCACCATAAGAAATGAGTTCGAAGAGACGACCGCTGGAGATGTTGAGCACCGGAACCATAAATTTCCAGTATTTATACGAACCAAAGTATGTAAGCAAATACATGGAGAAAAGTGCTATCTGTGAGGCGTCGTAACTCCAGGGCAGGTATAGGATTCCGGTGTTGTATTTCTCCCAATGAGACAAATAAAATGTCAAAAATACTGTCCAAAATATGAATAACATTCGCATTGGACTTTCACTGTAGTCTTCGCGACCGAAAATTGAATAAATACAGAACGGAATGAATAGAGCGGTCCAACTGTCCAATCCGTGGTCCATCAGTTCACCCAATGGACCGCTAGAATTGGTACGTCTGGCGTGTTTGCCATCGATTCCGTCCAGAGTATGAGCTAAGAAGTGACTCACAGCGCAGGCCAGCCATACCCACGCCGGCACAGGTAAACACCATTTGTAGGCATCGCTTGAACCACAAAAATCTTTATCATAAATAGTAAGCAGTAATCCATTGCCGACAGTAAATAGAAATCCGGTAAATGTGAGGAGATTTGGTGCTAACCATGTGGGAACAATCTGTTACATTGTGTGCAAATCGGAAATCAATGATAAAATAACGACAAAACATTGTAATAAAAACTATACCTTAACCGTGAAGTTCCAAAAGGGGTGCATAACATAGTTGCTGAGCGGACTCGTGTCCAGTGAACTATACTGTGAACACAAATTTATTCAGTTTTTAATTATCAATACTTTTCTTTATTATTGACATTATTTTCGATACACATTTGAAAAGAGTTACGATTTTTAATCTCGATATAAAAGTTCAAAAAATATGATTATATCATTCACATGGAAACAGCACTTCAAATGCAGGGGTGGTATTGGGCTTGAGGGCTGGCCCTCACCCCTTATGATTAACTACACAATTACATGCAATACTGTACTCATTATAAACGTACCCAATCTTCAATCAATACTTCAATAAATGGCTTTAATATTAAAATTATTATTTTTAAAATAAATATGTGTTACAAAATAATATAAAAATTCTTTATAATGTAAATATTGCTAATACTTTTCAATTGGTTTGATATTAAATTTCTAAATAAACATTTCTGCCTTTAAATGGAAAATTAATTAAAAAAATATTAAAATTCTTGTTTATACAACTTATAGAATACAAGGATGTATTAATATAAGGAAATTGTTTAATTTAAATATGACATTGTGTTGAATAAATGGCCGGCAATAGGGCTTACATAACCCCCTATAAACCCCCTAACATAAGCCCCCATTCAATATGTATGTAATTATATTATTTAAAACTCACAACTAATAGGTTTTCTGAACTTTGGATTCAAACATAAGTTTATAAATTGAGATAATATTGTAATGAATGAGAAGTGTTTATGAAAATTAAATATATTTTGGGTTAACTTTTCCAATAATTGCATTGAATTTCACACAAATATAAACTAAATATAAATTAAATGTAAACCAAATAATGCCTAAATTGACTCTTATTTATGTGAACGCAATCATAAATCATAGCAATTACATGAATGTCAATATTTGCTGTAAGTTATTACAGTTAAGCCCATTATTAACTGTAAATAAGAGTAATAACAAGAATATGAATATTACATAACAAATAAAACTATTAGCAAAACAATGAGATGTTAATCATAAGGCATTTGAAGCCATGCTTTGCTGTGATTTACAATTTTGGTCATTAAGGATAGCATTCATATGATTATAATCAACGCTATTATACATAGTTATCAATAGTTATGACAATTAGTTAATTGCAATGATAATGGAAATAATGGTACAAATGTTGGCAAACCTTATAGTTTTCAAATCCCTTTAAGTGAGCGTTTGAGAGGTATTTGTATTGAAACGACATTTCGATTACTAATTATATAATCAATGAATGAATGACTGAATCAATGGCTAAATGAGTGGCCGAACGGAAGGCACGTCTGTCTCATGGGTTGCGACACTTCACTCATCGCTCGCTTTACTGTAAATACAATTCAAACGATTCTTACATTTATATTGTGTTTACAATCATATGAATCATGCGATCATTCGTTCAGACATTACGTCAATGTATTGACGATTGCAGTCATAATGTTGTGAACGTATCGTCCATTTGGGAGACGTGTTGTGGTTTGAGTTGATTTGCGTTCACTTTTATTATCCATTGATTGATCCGTAGATCGAGTGAAGACAACGACAATGGTTTTGGCAGATTTGGGCCGTAAGATCACGTCTGCGTTGCGATCGTTGGGCAACGCGACGATCATAAACAAGGAAGTGCTCGACGGTCTGCTCAAAGACATCTGTACGGCACTGCTTGAGGCCGATGTGAACATCAAACTCGTGAAGCAGTTGCGCGAAAACGTGCGGTCAGTCATCGACTTCGAGGAGATGGCCGCCGGACTCAACAAACGAAGAATGATTCAAATGGCGGTCTTCAAGGAGTTGGTCAAACTCGTGGACCCGGGAGTGAAGGCCTGGACGCCAGTCAAGGGTCGCACTAATGTTGTGATGTTTGTGGGCCTTCAGGGCAGCGGAAAGACCACCACTTGTACTAAAATGGCTTATTATTACGTGAGGAAGGGCTGGAAGTGTGCTCTGGTGTGCGCCGACACTTTCAGGGCCGGAGCTTTCGACCAATTGAAACAAAACGCCACAAAAGCCAGAATACCTTTCTATGGCTCGTATACCGAATCAGATCCAGTGGTGATCGCGTCCGAAGGCGTGGAAAAATTCACAAACGAAGGCTTTGAAGTGATAATTGTGGACACGAGTGGACGTCACAAACAGGAGAGCTCTCTATTTGAGGAAATGTTGGCCATTTCGACCACAACTCAACCCAATTTGATTATCTATGTTATGGACGCGTCTGTGGGCCAGGCCTGCGAAGGACAGGCCAGAGCTTTCAACAGTAAAGTAGATGTCGGCGCTGTAATCATCACCAAACTTGACGGTCACGCCAAAGGTGGTGGCGCTCTGAGCGCAGTGGCGGCCACACAATCGCCCATTATATTCATCGGTACGGGTGAACACATCGACGACTTTGAACAGTTCAAAGTGAAGCCATTCGTGTCGAAGCTGTTAGGGATGGGAGACATCGAAGGACTGATCGATAAAGTGAATGAACTAAAGCTCGACGACAACGAAGAGCTGATCGAGAAGTTAAAACACGGAGAGTTTACACTCAGGGATATGTACGAGCAGTTCACGAATATCATGAAAATGGGTCCTTTCCATCAGATACTCAATATGATCCCCGGCTTTGGCGCCGACCTCGTGAAGGGCGCCTCCGAAGCCGAGTCCATGTCTCGTCTCAAACGCCTCATGACTATAATGGACTCAATGAGTGATTCAGAGCTGGACTCTCGCGAAGGCGCCAAACTGTTTACGAAACAACCGACACGTATAGCACGTGTGGCGCGAGGGAGTGGTGTCACTCAGAAGGAAGTGCAGGAATTGCTCACACAATACACGAAATTCGCGGCAGTCGTCAAAAAGATGGGCGGAATTAAGGGTCTATTCAAAGGCGGAGATATGGCTAAGAATGTGAATCCGACGCAAATGGCGAAACTGAACCAACAAATGGCTAAAATGATGGATCCCAGGGTTCTTCAGCAAATGGGAGGTATGAATGGCCTCCAGAGTATGATGAGACAACTCCAGACCGCTTCCCAACACAAATAACACAAACATCCCATTCCTTCACATTTATATTTTATAGCAAATCTATTTTATATTTCGTTTAACTATATCTGATGTTCACTTAATTGTGAAATTAATTGAATGCAAGTGTTATATCAATTCAAGAGTTTTTTAATATTAAACTCTCATTAAAAGCGAAATTTAAAAGTTTTGATTGTTTATTGAGTTGTTCTCTAATTGTATTAAAATTTATTATCCAATAGTTATTTAATGAAAATGTTTACTAATTATATGTAATTGTTTTCGTATGAAAATTCAATATAATTATTAACAGTAATTATATGTAAAATAAAGTATTTGATATAAATTATTAATTAAATATTTGATAATAACTTGAATATTGTCGTCAATAAAATAATGTTTTCAAACATATTACTGTAATTCCATAGACATAATGCTAACAATTAATTTGCAACAAAATTGTCAACATTTTTCCATTACTCGACTGTATTTAGGGATGAAAATTTCAGTGAAATATTCAGATGAATCTTTCATTTTGGCTAAATTTTAAAACTTTTTAGAGAAATGTAAAATTTTCATGTTTTTTAGATGGATACTTTTAATTATATGAAATATATTATCAGCATATTAATTGGATGATTTATAATTTAAAACAATTAAAAAAGTTATTTGGTTTTCTTTATACTTTAAATTTAATTTTTAGTAAAAATTCTTCTCATCTCCCAATGTACAATTTTACTTTTTATATTTTACTACTCTCTAAAATATTTTTAAATTTGATATTACTGGTACAAAATATTGATTAATTTACGACAAATAAAATGTTCTGATTAGCATGTAAATATTTTTTGTAAATAATAATACTTTGAGGTTGTCTAGATTTCGGAAAAAGTGCGAACGTAATATTGATATGTGAATTCCTTACACTAATATAGGATTCCAAGTCAAATAAGATGAGAAGTAGCAAGTTCAATCTTATACTGTATAATGTGTGTTCTGTTAATCTTATACTGTATAATAAGTTATACACAAATAAATTTGCTCTATGCTCAATGAAACTTAAAAATACCAATTTGTTTAACCATTGAATTCTATATCCAGAATCTTATACAGTATATAGTGCTGGAAAAATATATAGCGTTGATTTTTCCCAAAAAATCAATAAATTATATTTATCAAAATTAATCACAACAACATTGTTCACTTATTGTGTCTACCGTTCAAATGAACCAGGGCAAAAATTGCACACAAATATGGAACTCCGGAAAGAATATATAGTATGTATTCCATACTCTATGAAGTTAACAAAATATTGATGAACTCGATTATTATCATTAGTAATGTTAGTCTTACCAAAATAACAATAAAATATCACCGTATTATACGACGAGTTACACTACCATTTAGGGTTATGGCATATGAGTTGTCAGTATACAGTAAATGAGCCGTAAGAAGTGTCACCTTAACCAACTTATAAAAATAAAGCATTATTATCCACAATTCAGATATTAATAATATGGTTTATAGGATTGTTTGGCCCCCTCTCCCACCCGGCCGGCTTTATGAAATTTAACATGGATTCCCAGCTTAAGTCTATGGCTAGAATTTACCATGGGAATCCTTCCATAGGTTTACATGGGTTTCTATAAGATTACAGCTTAAATCTATAATATAAGATTAACAGTGCTAAGTCTATGGGTAATGTTAAGTTTTATGAATAATGCTAAGTCTATGGGTAATGTTACGTTTATGATTAATGTTAGGTCTATGGGCAATGCTAAATCTATGGCAATGCTTAGTCTATGGTCTTCATGCGTACTAATGTTAATTTTATGGACTCTTATTAAATATGTAAATAATGCTAATCTAACTTATTCTTTGAGCAATACCCGAATTGTGGTTAGGCTTTGTTCACATATTACGTTCGCACTCGGGGGAGGGGGGGGGTCGGCCAATGCGATTGACATTATTTTCGATACACATTTGAAAAGAGTTACGATTTTTAATCTCGATATAAAAGTTCAAAAAATATGATTATATCATTCACATGGAAACAGCACTTCAAATGCAGGGGTGGTATTGGGCTTCAGGGCTGGCCCTCACCCCTTATGATTAACTACACAATTACATGCAATACTGTACTCATTATAAACGTACCCAATCTTCAATCAATACTTCAATAAATGGCTTTAAAATTAAAATTATTATTTTAAAAATAAATATGTGTTACAAAATAATATAAAAATTCTTTGTAATGTAAATATTGCTAATACTTTTCAATTGGTTTGATATTAAATTTCTAAACAAACATTTCTGCCTTTAAATGGAAAATTAATTTAAAAATTATTAAAATTCTTGTTTATACAACTTGTATAATATAAGGATGTATTAATATAAGGAAATTGTTTAATTTAAATATGACATTGTGTGGAATAAATGGCCGGCAATAGGGCTTACATAACCCCCTATAAACCCCCCAAACATAAGCCCCCATTCAATATGTATGTAATTATATTATTTAAAACTCACAACTAATAGGTTTTCTGAACTTTGGATTCAAACATAAGTTTATAAATTGAGATAATATTGTAATGAATGAGAAGTGT